AAAATTATGATAAAATATACATAATGTAAAATTTACCATCTTAACTATTTTTAGGTGTATAGCTCAGTAGTGTTAAACATATTCCCATTGTTGTGAAACAAACCTCCAGAACTTTTTCATCTTGCAAATCTGAAACTGTACTTGTTAAACAACAATTCCCCTTTTACTCTTTCCCCTACCGCCTGATGACCACCATTTAACTTTATGTTTCTATGAATATGACTACTTTTTAAATAGTTATGTAAGTGGAATCATACAGCATTTGGCTTTTTGCAATTGGCTTATTCCACCTAGCATAACATCCTCAAGATCCATCCATGTAGTAGCTAGCATGTGACAGGATTTCCTCCCTTTTAAAGGGTGGAATAATATTCCACTGTATATAAAGACCACATTTTGTTTTTCCATTCATCATTGGGGTTACTTCCTTCTCTTGGCTATTGTGAATCATGCCTGTTAGTGTTTTTTAACTATATTTTTCATCTGAGACATTTATATAAACTCATATAATGTTTGCTGTTCCTTCCAAATTCAAGGTGTAGAATCAACTGTTTAAAACTGCTTTTTCCCCTCTCAAGCAAACAAGCCAGAAAAAGTGTCTCACCACCAACAGATAAACAAAACATATGCAAAAAGAATCTTGAATACTTGAACATTTTATCACCAAACAACAGTAGATCCACTGGTCACTTGTTGAACTACACGGTTTTATGGTACTATTAAAACCCCTTGCCATATAAAGAGAGAGTGGTCAATGCTCAAATAGGATAGATTTAAAAATACATATTTTCTGCATATTCTTTATTATATAACTCTTTTTTTTTTTTTTTCAAAACAATAGGATAATATAGTCTAGATGGAATTCAGGTCATTTGGCAATTGCTTTCACCTGAAATAGTGGTGGCCAAGCTAGGTCAAGAATCAGAATCTGCTAAACACCCTAAGAATCTGTATTCTTGATTCCCATTTATGCCTACTAAAATCAGAAACTCCAGGGTTTATATGTTAGCTCATTTTGCATTGTTGTAAAGAAATACCTGAGATTGGGCAATTTATAATGAAAAGAGGTTTATTTTGGCTTGCAGATCTGCAAGCTGTACAAACATGTCACCAGCATCTGCTTGGCTTCCAGTGAGGCCTCAGGGAGCTTACAATGGTGGTAGAAGGCAAAGCGGAAGCTGGCATGTCACATGGCAAGAGAGAGCAAGAGAAAGAGGAGGAGGTGCCAGCTCCTTTCAACAACCAGCTCTCCTGTGAACTTAGAGGGTGAGAACTCACTCATTACTATGAGGACGGCATCAAGCCATTAACAAGGCATAAGTCTTCATGACCCAATCACCTCCTACTAGGCCCCACCTTCAACATTGAAGTTCACATTCCAACACGAGATGTGGAGAGGACAAATATACAAACCCATAACAACTGGGAACCACTGCTTCAATTTCATCCACAAGTTCTGACTAGAATGTAGAATGTATCATGTAATTCATCAAGCTATCTGCTTTTGTTATCTAGGACTCTAAAGCCTTTCTTAGAAGCCTCTGGATTCTTCTTTATTAGCCACGGATATAGCTATTCTAGTTCACCATGTCTTGAATGTGTTTCTGTCAGCGCTGTACTCCACGCTTCGCCTTCTAAACCCCCTGCCCATTGCTCTCCATAGCCATCAGTGACTTATGTTACTGTCCCCAATGTGATATCCTCTGTTTCCTTCTCTGAATCAGAGGCTGTGGGATTCTCAAAGTGACAATTAATCAAACTGTTAAATTACTCATTGAGATGTACTAACAGGTCACCCCTCAGCTCCTAAGAGACATTTTCTTTTATCAGAGGCTTCCACTGACCATGTCATTGCCTTTAGAATTCCCCCTCCCTTTGCTCTCAAAACCTATACCATTTTTGTTGCCTCATCTGGGAAATATATGCTAGCATCAATTAAAAAGAGGCAGGAAGAAAAAGATTTAATATTGTTCTCATTATGCTTTAAATAAGCAAATCCCTGACCTATACTCATCCATACCCAGCTACAGATGTTCTCTAAATTGTCACATGTTTGTTTCTCCCCCCATTCCCTAAATGTTCCCAAACTAACAGGACATTAAATGAGAAAATGCTTCTCCATAAAATTTGCTTAATTTACTATTTGTCTCCCTCCACATAGCATCCTTCTCATCATCTGTAATGTGCAATCAATCGCATACCCCTGGGAATGTTGTTCATTGGTCATTTACATGATTAAAGAATGGAGAAAATGAGACACTTCAAAGAATAGAGGTGTTTTAATAACCTCCAATTTGAATCTCTTCTCACTACCTACCCCCTACTGACATAAGATAGCAAACATCACCACTTTCACTCTCTCTCTAAAAGAAGGTTTTAGATTTACCCCTATGCAATGCAGTATTTTATTTATTAAGGATGCCAAAAATATGCCAGGTCTTTAAGGCCTATGGGAAACCTTATTCTGGCTGCAATAGGAAGATTACCATGGATACATCTCTGCCTCACTGGATGATCAGCAACGGCTGTTGAGTCAAGCTTGGGAGCCCTCTCAGTCTGCTTATCACACAAACTATATCAGGTAAAATCACAAATGTCACCGCTCACTTAGTGACATTAGAATTAGGTATCTTCCAGTAGCTTTGCCTAAAAGCAAAAAGTAGTCAGCAGTTTCCAGGATCCCTCATGCCTATTTGAAATTTCCTGACTTTTAGTGACTACCCTTACTATCAAGTACAATTGTTGTGACCCACTTGCTTTCTATGTATTTTTTTTTGTATCTTTTTGTTGAGAATGGGGTCTTGCTATATTGCCCAGGCAGGTCTTGAACTCCTGGGCTCAAGCTATCCTCCCGCCTCTGCCTCCCTAAGAGCTGGGATTAATAGGTGTGAGCCACAGTGCCTGGCCCCAACTTACTTTCTAAAAGAATAGTGGGCCTTACAGAAACTGAGGTGAGCTGACAGCCAGAAAAGAAGCAAGAGACCTTGCGTGTCCTATAAGAGTTAAGCAGGCAATCAATTACGGCTACATAACATGCACAGAGAATGCCAATCTCACCTTTTCTGCTGTGCTTTGAGCAGCCTGAGCTCTACTTCAAGCGAAAGTTTCTTCCCTTGGTAAGAAGAAAAGTGGCACTGGGAAGCAAAAAGTAATGGAGCTCATTTCAGAAATGCCAAATGAGTAAGATCCCACTGCAGAGTCAAGATGAACTCTTACTGCCTACAGAGTGTGGTCTCAGGCTTGATGTAAAGTAGAGTCTGAGTTCCTTGCCATGAAGTTGCAAAAGGGAAAAAAATTACGTTTTTCTTATAGTAGTGTCACCATGGAAGGTGTTCCTTCATAACGTCATTGGATAATTTCAGTTACCTTAAAACAAATCTCCCAGATAACGCTTTACATGTGTAGTAGCTTTCTACCACACACCTCCTTAAATAAAACCAATTTTTTAAACTTTCAGCAATATTGAGATACGTGATTGAGCAGTGTTTGTGTAGATAGCCCCAAAATAGAAAATTAATGGATAAAATGAAATTCTAAACAAACACATCTATAAAGTAAAAGGTCAATGAAGATAAACATTAGCAGGGAAATCAAGAACACTCCAATTTCTTTTCTACAATGCAATCAAAGTCTTCTCCAAGTAAATATACAAATGCTGACAAACCTGTGAGTTTCAAGAGCTCCTAAGAAGAGAATTAACACAATCTGAAAAAGGGCAATCTGTTATATGAAAAATTTAGCAGATCCTCAATCCAATTACTGAATAATTGCTGAAAATCAGCTCAAAGCTTTGGGCTATAACAACCAGAGTAAATAAAGCTATATATGGAGATAAGATTGGTTTGAAGTTCCTAGGTTAAGAGTTTGAGAAGTAGCTCTAAAATTTGAGTTTTAAAACCATAATCATAAACAAAATAAAGTCTCATATATTTCCTTTTTTTTTTTGTACTTTGGGCTCTGGGGTACATGTGCACATCCTGCATCATATAGTTCTTAATTAGCAAAACAAACAGAACAAAACATATATGCATTCTAATATCAAACTGGGTAGCGCAAATCTTGCAATTAGGAGAAAAAGAAGCCCAATGAGAGTAAATACCTACTGCATGGGGGCTTTGTCATCAAAGCTCAATGCACACCCAATGAATATTTTTTTTTGCTTTTATTTATTTATTATTTATTTTTTTATTGCATTTTAGGTTTTGGGAATATTTTAACAATGTTTCTAAATACAAGGATCAAAGACAAAGTCTGAGAGGAAGCATAGCCTAGAAGATTCATACAATATCAAAATATTCCTCTATTTCAAGATACAGCAAAAGAGACATTAAGAAAAGGACATGAGATAAAAGAGATAAAAATCCTGGTCATTGGAAAATATTGAACACCGTCAGACTGTGGACTCAACAGAAAGCTGATATCTATGAAGTTTCCCATATTGGAATTCTATAAATCTAGAAACAGGGCTGGTTTTATGGGTATATGACCTGTGCAGTTACCCAGGGCCCCACATAGAAGGATCCTGCACTTAGTTTAAAGTTCTCCTTTTGCCATCTTGAGATTTTTAATAATTTTAGAACAAAATACGCCAGATTTTCATTTTTCACTGAGCTCCCCAAATTATGTGGCCAGTCCTGGCTAAAAACCTCATATTCAAGGAAGTTTTGAGAACAAGGAAAAAGGAGCAGAGGAGAAAAACATGGTCTGACTAAAACAGAGATAAACTAGAAGTTGTCATTATTTCTATGTTCTAATTTTGCAATACTTCTAGTAAATACTAGTCTATGCATTAGAAAAATCAACCCACATTAAAGACGATACTTAGAGATTTCCCCATTCCTTCACTGTTAGCAGTTTATTTTTCCTAAGGTGAATTTTTTTAAATGATTCTCATTTCAAAATCGAGTTTCTAGTATTTTTGGTATTCAAAATAGATTTACAATCAAATATCTGTGAAATCTTTTATTAAATGATATTTGAGGATTTAAAATCCACACCAGGAATGGAAGTGATGGAAGCTATTCTAGGACAATTGAAGAATATATAAAGGAAGAACATAATGTTGTTGTGTTATAAGAAATCCATAGAAATTTGGCCTTTCAGCCACTGCTGAATTATAAATAGTTTAAGCATCAACTTATTGCTTCAGGGATCTCAAAAGCAAGAGGTGCTGCCATTCTAATTGCTTAAAAAAATCCCATTTGGTGTCCAAGGGCTTGAAACAGAGCCTGATGGATAATTTTATCTTAGCTAAAGGCAATCAGCTAAACAAATCATTAACAAAATATTAGCTGTAAGTGCTGTGTGCCCACGAAAAGCATTTTATAGCTCAGTCCTTTGAAAAATTACATGAAAATTGGTGAAGAGAGATGGATAACTAGCAGACTCTTTAATGCCCTAATGAATGCAAAGATGGATCCAACTTCCTTGTCTGTCACTACTCTGGAAACAAGCCACTAGAGATTCAGACATTGCAGTCTCAGTTGCAGAGTGTACAGACCATCTACAGGAGATTCTATGTTTTCAATTCGACCAGCAAAATAAAATTACTCAAGAATGTATTATAACTTTATCAGTTTAGCATGTTTGTTTTAGCTAAGATAGGAACAATAATGCTGGTCAATATTACCTGGGTCTCCTGCAAGCTTTCTGGAAACAAAAACATGGAAGGGCTTAGAATGCAAGTATCACAACTTCCTTTTGTTAGGTGACACAGCAGTCAGTAGTCAAGCTTTCAGCAACTATTACTTCCTATCTTCACCCCAGTTCTTCATGTAAATTACCACGTGATATTAAGATACATCTAATGTAACAGTTAAAAGAACCTACTACACTATTGTTACCCGCAAGCTTGTAAAACTCTCAGAAAAGAAAATCTTTTTTTTTTTTTTTTTTTTTTTTTNTTTAATGGCTGAGGAGCAGGCACTACCGGGAGAGAGAGAACCCTAGCAGGACTTCCCTATAATTCTCAATAATAACAGTAATGTTGGCTGACATGTATTTAGTGCTTAACCTATGTCAAATACTTTGTATTCACTATCTATTTGAACCTTTGAGACCTGACTATACAGATAAGGAAACCAAGACTCACCAAAGACACACCAAGAATAAGTGGCAGAGCCAGTTTTGAAAGCAAGTCTATGTGACTCCAGAGCTAGTCTTTTCCATTACCAGACTGTTTAAACACTCTGTTCCATTGTCTTTTAGCAAATGACTAGAGATACTGTGAGCAGAAAGACAGAGGTATATTTCATATTTGGCAGTTAGGATCCAACGTACTTAAGTTTGGAATGTTCACTTAAAATGTCTATGGATTGTGTCACTTCTCTGCTCAAAACTTAATTGTCCAGCAAAGCAAATTTCTTACCTGGAATTTAAAGCCTGATATGATCTAGCCCCACCCACACTTCTACACTTAACTTCTTTCTACCTACTTCACACATTTTCTGATTCAACCATTCATTGAACAATAAAAGCAATAGGATCTTCTATTGGTGAGCTCAGGCTGCCATAACAAAATACCATAGACTGGGTGGTTTAAACAACAGGAATGTGTTTCTCACAGTTCTGTAGGCTGGTAAGTCCAAGACCAAGGTGCCAGCCAATTCTGTTCCCTGGTGAGGGCCCTCCTTCTGGTTTGCAGACAGCTGCCTTCTTGCTGTGCCCTCACATGGTGGAGAGAGGCAAAGAGAATGAGGAAGTGAGCTCTTTGGTGTCTCTTCTTAGAAGAGTACTCATCCCATTAGTCCATACCCTCATTCTCATGACCTCATCTGATCCTAATTACCTCCCAAAGACCCCACTTCCAAATACCAACACATTGAGGATTAGGGCTTTAACATATGAATTTTGCTGGGTGCAGTGGCTCATATCTGTAATCCTAGCACTTTGAGAGGCCGAGGCAGGAGGATTACTTCAGTCCAGGATTTCAAGACAAACCTAGGTAATATAGTGAGACCCCTGTATCTACATAAAATTTAAAAATTAGCCAGACTTGGTGGTGTGTACCAGCAAGTCCCAGCTACTTGGGAGGTTGAGGTGGAACGATTCCTTGAGTTCAGGAGGTTGAGGCTACAGTGATTTGAGATCACACCACAGAACTCCAGCCTTTGTGACAGAGTGAGACCCTGTCTCAAAAAAACACTCTCTATATATAAATTTTTCAGGGACATATTCAGTTCATGGCAGGGCCGCACTAGCTAGTCCCTCCAGCCATAGAAAGTTATGCGCCTCCTTTTTCTTTCTTTCTTGCCCAGTTACTAGTGAGTTTAAGCAGTTTAGGATCATCACCCATTTGCCTCCTCAGACTTTACCACTAAGGACCTTTGAGCTATTTGAATTAAGTTGATATCACAGCAAGAAACACATAAGTATACACAACAGGAGGAATTATTTCATTCAACAAATATTTAGTGGGACTGGGCTGGGTCTTGGTAATACAAGACAAACACAATTCCTGTCCTCCTGGAGTCTTCCGTCTAGAATATCATGATCCCCTCTAGCTGCTGCCCTGATGTCATCACCTTTGTAGTTTCACTTCTTGAAAACTTTATATTCATTGTGTACACTGCCTTATCTTCAATTCACTCCATAAGCCACTGTAATATACCATTTCCCTCAGAGCAAAATGCTTTTTACCAAATCATCGACTATCTCCTCCACCCCTCAATTTTATTATAAATCCAATACACCGTTTAGTTTTATTTAACTTGATATCTGTGGAATATTTGGCATTATTGACCTCACTTGACTACTTGAAATTCCCTCTTTCCTCCTCTTCTGTGGAATAGTGCTCTCCTGGTTTTCCCCTTTATCCTCTCATACCTAATCATCCATATGGGTTCCTCTTAAATATTTACATGCTGCAGGATTCTACTGTTAGCTCTCTTCTAGTCTTAGACCATTATTTTTCAGTGTGATTCTTGCAACACTTGTGCTACCATGACTTAAGGTGCTCAGTAAAAAACACAAGATTCCTTGACCCTTAGTAAATTTCAGAACCTCACAGCACTCTGGAATCTATTTAATCCAGCATCGTAGGTGATCCATATAGACTCTAAATATTTAAAATCAATGCTCTATACCCACACTAGCTCCTAGACAATGCTAATCTTCCCTATGGCTTCAGTTATCAGCTGTATACTGGATGTGGAGGCTGGTAAGTTTGTAGTTGGCATACAAGGAAGTTAAGAAATGGCTTAAGTTGTGATGGCTACTATTTTCTCCATGAAGCAGGAGTCGAGATCACACAGTGAGAATGAAAGCATAGGGTTGGAGTGGAAAAGATAAAAGCAGAAGACAAGGGAAATACAGATGGTTTGCTGAATAGTGTGGAAGCCCTAGCTGAGATTGAACACTAGGAGGGTATTTAGTCATTCACTTTTGTAGTGGGGAGATTTCTTTCCCCCAGCAACCTTAGTATAGATATAAAGAAGGCAAAAAGTTATAGTCCAAAGATCTGAGGCTGCTAATAAGAATATAGAAGTTTAGACAATAGGATCTAGGCTTCATAGAAAAGGAAGTAAAGAGAGGGGATTGATAAAGGTCTTGATGCTCATGTACAGGTGTAATAATAGCAATGGAGTGAAAGAACTGAAAAAATGGATAGCTATTGATAAAGTGGAAAATCTGAATTTAAGATTTCAAAGATGAAGCAGCTTTTGGTAATGACAAAGTCCAGAGTGTTGCTCTGGAATTGGACAGTTTAAGTGGAGAGTTGGTGAACATTAAGAAATGGAGAGGCCAGAGTATTCAAAAGATTGTGTATTTTGAACATTGGAGTCACCAGAGATGATGGTGGCAGGGCTTGGAATGCAGAGGAAGATTTTCAGCCAAGGTCTCCAGTGAATGACAGAGAGTGATCAAGAGGTTGATAGATTACACGAAAAGGGATCAAGTATTTTGTCTATTAAAAAAATTTATCCCAGCACTTTGGGATGCCAAGGTGGGCAGATCGCCTGAGGTCAGTAGTTTGATACCAGCCTGGCCAACATGGTGAAACCCTATCTCTACTAAAAATACAAAAAAGAAAAAAAATTAGCCAAGCTTGGTGGCATGCACCTGTAATCCCAGCTACTCGGGAGGCTGAGGCAGGAGAATTGCTTGAACCCGGGAGGCACAGGTTGCAGTCAGCTGAGATTGTGCCATTGCACTCCAACCTGGGCAACAAGAGTGAAATTTTGCCTCAAAAGAAAAAAATTAACTTCTGGAAATGTCAAATTTCCTATTGTTATGTCCAAGATTTTTCAAATTCTGGTGTCAACCTAAATTGTTAGCCTAACTGCAATCTATTAGCCTTCACACAACTTCCATCACAGCCTCAATGGGCTACTGCCATTCCCTGAATAGATGCCATATGCCGCATTATACATTTCCTAATCCTTCCTCTGAACTTCATAGTATTTTACTAGAGCCACATCTGGAGCTTAGGGCTTTTATTACAGTTATTTATACATATATCTTCTCCCCTACCAGTGTGTTTGACTCTAGGGTTGATGTCATATACATTTTTGTAACACCCATGTTAGCATCTACTATAGTGCCTTTCAGGTAGCAAGCAATTGATGAATATTTAATATTTGTTGAATATTGATAAGGTTGTAAAATCACAACTAGAATATGTGTGAACCAATCGTAGAATTGCTATGTAAGTTAAGCAAAGATACATGTTCATTCATCTTCAGAAAGGAATTTATTTTTTTAATGGCTGCAAAAATCTGCAAATTATACAATGACATAAGAATCTATTCAGAAGGTCTGCTTCATTAAGATATAGGAGTTCTTCAATGAGAACATAAGGACACAGGGAGGTGAACATCACACACCCGGGCCTTTCGCGGGGCTGGGGGTAAGAGGAGGGACAGCATTAGGAGAAATATCTAATGTAGATGATGGGTTGATGGGTGCAGCAAACCACCATGGCAGGCATATACCTATGTAACAACCTCCATGTTCTGCACATGTATCGCAGAACTTAAAGTATAATAAAAAAAGAAAAAACGATATAGCAGTT